CGAAAAAGCGCCTTTCAAAACAGTTGTTTAGGCTAATGTAATTGTATGTTTATGTATTACAATGTATTCAGAGTGAAATTATTCCGCATGTGACGACGACGATGATCATCATGGTGATGATCGTCGTCCGCTCTCGGTCCTACACGTGTTATTGTGTGTAAATGGGGGGAGCGCGTATGCAACCCGAAAACCGTACCTGTCATGCGAATCATCATCGAGGCTATAGGCAATTTCGCCGTAATTATTTTTGGTTTCGGCTAATGCGAACCTCGCGTGGTTCTTCTGTTCACCTGGTGGGCAGCTGAGGACGAAGGGCCGGGCGGATCAACATTTGCATATCACTTACTTACTCTTTCGCTCGTCCCGAAATTATTATTATCGAGATGCCTTCTTCAATTCTTCACTTTTATTGAATAATTAATTAGCACGTTGCTGCTGAACCCATAAAGGCATTAACATTAATTACAATGTAGCGTAATGTGTAGTTAAGTCATTAGTATCTAAATAAGAGGCGCAATGCAGGAAGCTTTCGGAGCTCCGGTTAATTGCGCGCCGCCTCCGTTCGTTTTGTTTGTCTGCTCCCCCGTCCCCGATAATAATACAAACTCATTCTCTGCGTACAGACAAACTACACAAACACACACTTTACAGACAAGCGGTTAATTTTTCGATGCACCGAAAGAAATCTCAAAAATTCATTACAAAAGTGCGTGACTTGAACTCGTTAAAATTTATTTAAAAAGAGAAACACGTATTTTTGCAGATCTTTATCAAAACATAAATTAAATTATTTAGAAAAAAAAAACTAATTCAAATATAACTATACTATAATATTTTAGCTAAAATTTAAGATTTGACAATTGACTATTAAGTAATCAACAATTTTCGGTATATTTATTCTGTTTTCTTTAATATTTATGAAATCCGAAATTGAAGTGAAGTCAGTAATAGAAATATGATGGTTTGGTCATGTTGTGTCCATCAATGAATTATAAAAGTGTATACTGCCATCCTTTTTTCGGTTAGGAAGGCTTTCAGAATGTGAAAATGAATAAACGCGTGTTCATGTAAAATAATGGCGCTCCAGCTGATGACGATCATTACGGCTACGATGATTAGGGTTTCGTGTATGCATGTGAGAGTGTATTTTATAAATCCACCAGGTGGTGGGTTGTAAAGTGCAGTGAGAAGGGTAGACTTCGCAAGTCACTTCCTCGTCTCCATCGCTGTTAGCTGAAAGCAGTCTGCTTTTATCGATTACATTATAATAATATCGGCTGGTAAATAAATGTGTGTGTGTGTGTATGTGTACGAGTGTATCTATAGATATTTTATCGGTGCCGCGGCCTGTCAGAAACATTTATGTGTGTGTGACTCTGTGTGTGCTGGTACTAACTGCCGATGACGTAAACGTATCGATTTTCCTGTCCGGGCCGACCGAAACGTCACTTTACTATGAGGACGTTTTTATGTGTCCGAAGGACCCCAGCTGATTTTTACGACCCCGTCCTCATCATCATCCCACATGCAGAAGGAACGGCGCATGCAGCATCATTGACCGAATATGTGAGTGTGTGTGAGATAGAGATGGTTATATTATGACCTGGTCTATAGTATGCGACGGGAAAGGGATGGAGTATGACTGGAGGGAGGATGGGGCGCCGCGACGCCCGCGCGACTGCTTCGCTCACCCAATTTCACGGATGTGCATTTTACAATTACCGTTCCGCTTATCGCCACGGCCATTTGGGAGATTGCGAGCAAGATGGCGAGCGAGCGAACGTGCATACGTCGATGGTGCGCAGCCGCGCCGCCCCCGACCCGCCACCGCCGCCACCACCGCCGGCGTCTATTCCAGTGATAGCCCTCCTCTCGATTTTGATGGACACTGGAACGACCGCGCCCTCGTTACCGGCTACAAATCGCGCCTTTTTATCTTCCCCAGACCATGGATTTAAATTACACCATTCACCCATCCCTTTCTCACTTTTGCCACTCGACGCGAAATAAAAAAAGAGAGAGCGACAGAAGAATAGCAGCGCAAGATACCCGCCCCCACCAATCTCCGCTTCCTTTCCAGACGCGCATACATACACACATAACTTTAAAAGATTTAAACCATCTCAGAAATTAGCAATTGCAATAAAAAGAAAATGAAGACAACCCTTTTGGGTGGGCCGACATAAATAATTAAAGGCTGCAGCACGAGTGGAGGAGAAACAGAAGCACTCCGAGACCACGTGTCCGAGAGTAGGCCCGAAAGTGTGCACACTACACTGTATATATATATGTGTGTGTGTGTGTGGGTTCCACATAATGCTCACTTAATAATAGCTCTCGAGATTACAACAATATTAATAATTCTTTAACGCGTTGATTAGGACATTAGGGCCCATTCATCTCGTCGTTGGGGCACATAAATCGCGGCATTAAAAACCCGAATCGAATAAATCGCACACTTGCACAGGCTTGCATTCAAACCGCACCAAATAAAGAGATCAGACCCGATGGACAATTCCGCAAATGCCTATGATCTGTGCAAGAGGATTATTAGTGTGGATGCGTTGGAAGGGGGACACCGACGGCGAGATCAAATGCCGAACAAACACGCTCGTTTAATTTGAAATTTTCAGTATTTTTCTTTATATTTTATACGTTTTCCAAACGAAATTAATCTAGAATCTAGAAATAACAGATTAAAATAAATGAAACCGTATTTGTTGGATTTTATAATAAAATTAATTTTAACATATTCAATGGTTTGAAACAATTTTTACAATGGACACGAGAAGAAATAATGAGAAAATACAGTAATTACAAATATTGCAAAGAATTATGAAAAGAACATAAATAATTAGACTATTTTCTTATAAAATTATGAAATTACAAAAACTTAAAATTATTCGTTTATTAATTGTAATGCATTCAGATTATTTAAAATTCATTATTGAAATAATGGATGCATTATTTTGATTACAGACAAAAAATACAATTATTTCAATCTAACGTAATATAATCATTATACAATACATCAAAACATCAAATATTGTTGCGAATGCAAGTTAAGTAACTTTAAATTGCATTAACATCTCTTTGGTACGTGTTGAGAAATGTTTCGAAAATCTTTGATCAATTTGCTAACGCTCTGTGTATTTCGTATCCTAGACTTGAAAGCATCGCAGATAAACATTTTGAGCATATTTCTGCAAATACATCTCTGCAATTTTTGAGTATGCGCAAGTAAGCGTATTATTTTTTGCTCTTCGTCCATGAAAAATATGAAAATGAAATTTACATCCATGAAGGATTTCGTAATTAAATTTTTAATGAAATTTGAATAGTGATTATTATTTTAATTTGAGATTTAACTTCTTGTTATAGTGTGAGATGAGTTTGAGTTTTGCGAATTGACGAGCATGAGGAAAGGAATATAGTTGTAATTGTGGGTGTGAGAGTGAAAGAACGAAAGAAAAAAGAAAGAGTGGTGCGGACGCGCAGGGTTGCTGCGGGGCATCGCAACGCCATTGGTTATAGTATTCGCCCTCTCACGAGTGGATTCTGCTGTCGATTCTATTCGTAAATCAAAATCGCGACGCGCAAAACCACCCTCGCCTCTCCGTCTGTCTCTTCTTCTCCCATTCGACGCGGCTCTCTTCATCTCCAGCTGCCGCCGTCGGCGTTAAATGACCCTGCCTCCTCTCTCTCTCCCCCTTGAAACCCCCATACGAACTAATGGGAAGCATCGAAGGGGGACAGCAGAATCAGCGAAAATGACCCATAAAAACACATCTCCCAGACGATAATTAAAACGCGAATCTCAGCGATGACATCGAACAGATCGGAAGGAGAGATGGGTAAGCATATGGGATGCGAGCCAGCAGCATCGAGAAGATGCAAGACGTAGGCTGCTGGTATTTCTTGGTTTTCGCCCCAGATGATTTAGCAGCTATGATTCATCACAATTTAGTATGACAGAGTTCTCGTGGCGCGCGACGCTAATTGGCGGCGCGCAACCGGGCCCCGATTAATAACTAGCACTAAATCTCGGAGATTTTCTTTTCGCGCCCGGACGCATTTTCCCCACATCCATGGACGTCGGATCATCCACGGATTGGACTGGACGACCGTCGGAAAACCGAAACGTCCGACGGCTGCCAATTGCATCGCACATAAATCACATTCCGGAGCCCCGGGGGAACCCCCGAAACCGCACCATAATCGTTTCCTTTACTAGCGCACACGATTTTCCCATAAATAACAATGGCAGAAGATGCATCGCAGCCATCGCCACGAACACCTCATTGTTACATGCAAGCGATACTTCCAAATTATTACGATTTTACTCGGAGAACTAATTACTTAATACCTCAAAAAGATGATAATTTTAAAATGATTTATTAAGTTTATTGAGAAAAATATCATTTAAATTTGTTTGCAACAAATAATTATAAATCTGAGCTTGATGAAGTAATGTTGAAAATACTAAAATGTTTACTAAAATAAGTAAGAGTAATTAATATAATTATTACTAATAGTAATTGTTTTTCAAAAATAAAGTATATAACAATTAAACTGTCGTGTATTGTATATTGAATGTTGTAAGAGTTCAGGATACCAGTTTGTTTGGGGTAAAATGTACGAGTGTTTATTATTGATTGTATTAACAGTTGAAAAAGAAAATGACTGGTGGCGACTGGTAATCGATGGTAAACAGATGACGAGGAAAACGAAAAGACCCCGAGGGTGGATGTATCTGTGTGTTCGGTGGTGGCAATAACACGGCCGTTCAATTTGACGTCGGGAGTTTCATTATCGTTCCGCCGGATTATGTTATTCCTGCTCAACGGGTGGTCGGTAAACGCAATATTATGGGCGAGTAAAAGATGTTGGAATTTCATTGCCTATTCTTGTTCCATCTTCCTTTTTTTAAAACTAGGTGAAATCTAAATTCTTCGAAAATCTTGATTTAATCGTACTATTTTTGTTTGTTTGTTGCTTAGGTAAATGGTGTCCGCGAAGAGAATGGTCATCACCACCGGATGCGAGGGCGACGAGCGATGCAGCGAGGAGAGGTGTCCTTTACTCCTCCGTCTTCCTGGGCAGCCCCGGTGAGTAGTAGGGACGACTCCTGTAAGAAGAGAGAGCCCTTTCTTTTATTCGTTTTTCTTCCCTTCTTGCTTTCTTTCTGCATCCCGTTCTCTTTCTCTCCCTGTGGCCGTGCGGCTCGGGTCGGCTCTCCTCTTCGCGGGTTCCGCGCCGCCGCCGTGTGGGTCGGGCCCCGCGGTTGCCATGGCGACCGCCGCATTCCCGCCTCGTAGTCATGGCGCGCGAGGGGGCGCGCAGGCGTTGCGGCGGCTCCAAGAGTGGCGCGCTCGATACACACATTCACAGGTTTGACCTTTCCGCTGACCTGCCGGTGGTGCAGTATAGGCCCTTCTCTGATTGGGTCATCCATCACTCGGCCCGTAATTGGTTCCCATGGACCCGTAATTGTTACCTTGGCTCTCTCGTCTCTCACTCTCTTTCTCTCCTCTCTTCATTCACCTCACATCGCATCTCCTCTCATCCCATCTCTTGGCCGCGCGCTTGTCGTTCATCAGGAGAGTAGACGAGAAGAGAAGAGTAGACCAGAGCGCGGAGACAAACTTTACATCTCTCATATTCCGCAAATCATATCCTTCCCTTCCAATTTCCATCCATACCTTTATCTCGAGTTTGCTTGATTTTCCTTTTTTTTTAAATATTATTCTTATTATTTTTCATCCTCCATGCTCGTTGTTCTCTCACATCCATCCGACGTCCTGCAAATGACAGCCCCCTTTTCCCATTGTGTCTCCCTGTATATGTGTGTATGTCCACGATCGGAACGTACCGCAAGAGCACCGTCGGCTCGAAATATTCCAATTATGCCACCCTCTGGCTACGACCCAAACAACACACACGCTCACACACAAAAAAAAAGAGAAAAAATCAAACGCTCTCTCAAATGCAGCTGATCTCAAATTACGAATAATCCCCCGCCAATCCGACTATTCTCCCCCACAACAAAAAGTCGCAGAGAATGAACGGGATAAAAAAAACAAACTTAATGATCAACAAACACATAAATCCTCAAATCTCCATTTAATTGTCAAACAAAAAGTAATTCCATTCCAGACCGTATCTGAATACAGTAGACATGCTTAATTCCTCTGCTGTTTACTCATTTCAACACGCTTATTTAATTTAATCAAAAAATATTTTTGATATGGCAAAAATTTTGAGCACATCCATTGCAACGGTTCAATTTATCAGATTTGATGTTCAAATAAACACGATTTATACAAAATATACATAAATGTCGAAGCAGTATATTTTACAAGTATTCGTAAAAACGAGATGAAAATACCTTATATACTCGACATTTTACATTTTCAATAATTTACAATTTATTTTATAAAATCATATATTTTATTATGTTCATTATGTACAAAGAAATTGAAAGTCTACTAAATAAAATATTAACAATTCCAACTAAAAGAGGCAAAAAAAAACATGAATTGTGTATAGGAAATTGCTAAGATTCTTTCTTCGAGGAGATGGATTTCAAGCGAAGCAACTTTAAAATAATCTTTGTGCATGGCGCGGATAAATTTCAGAGAATTCTCTTCCGCATATCAAAGCAGAGCAAGGGATCACAAAGCGTGACCGCAGCTGCACCACTAAGCACTAATTTGCCTCTTGTTGTCTCAATTAATTCCCGCGGCCATTGAACAAGAAAACAACAAATACAAGCAACAACGCAAAAGACGAAATATGCAAATGAAATACGAAATCAGATGTTGTTGCATTGCTTTCGACACCAAAAACAACTTTCTGTTGTGCATCAACTCAACTAGTTGCTATTAAGTATTTAGTAATGTTTAATTCGATGGAATCAAATTTAGAATTCAATAATATTATATCAAATTGATGAATAAAATTATGCTTTTGTGTTTAGGATAAATGTCAATTAAAATAAAGCGAAATGATGATTAAGGCTTAGAGAAACTTAGATTAGGTGATTCTTTTCGGGGAGAGATCGGAATTATTTATGTTGCATGTAGAAGACGTAAAAGACGGGTGGGAGAGAGATATTTAGAGCTAATTGGACAAGGTCTTATAGAGATTTCGTTATCACATGTGATAGCAATTGCCGTCGCGGCGTAAACACTGTGCCAAAGCAGTAAACATGTGGCGCAGGGGTCTGGACCGATGCCAACGGGCCCGAATTAAAATAATGTCCGTCGTGCAAAAACATAAAACGCATCATTAAAGAGAGGCCTCTTCGCAAGCGGTGCGGCGCGGGGATTGGGGGATGGTACCTTTTACCGATTTGGTACCGAATTTATGGGCGGCCCCCGCGACAATAAATGCATCCATTCACTCTATATTTATAAATTGTTATAATAAATTGTCCGGGACCGAAAGTAAAAGAAAAAGGAAAGGCAAACGGGAAAGTAAGATGAAGCTGATGAAGAAAAGAAAAACAGAAATGGAAAAAGGAGGAGGAGGAGAGATTTGGTCGCGCGACTAAATTTAGAGAACGCGACTCTGGGTCCACGTGACACACATATCCGACTACTATTAAGAGCTTGTTAGCTTTTGTTTTGCTCCTGCCACGGCGACGCCGTTTGACAACCGCGACGCTGACGAGGAATAGCAGGTGTCGAAACGACGCTCTCGGCGCCAGCGACTTATAAACACGCTAAGTCTGTTTTGACTATGGCTCTGCCCCAGCCTCTACTGCCGGCTGGGTCATTGCACCACCGTCGAAATACCAGGGAGGAGACGCACCACAACCACCACCATCGTTGTCGCAACCGCCGCCGAAAAGAGCAGAAGATTCGCCACGCAACGACGACGCATCACGAGAAGATTATATAGAAATTACCTTTTTATAAAATTATTATAATTTATGTAAATGTCGTAATGGCGCGGTATAATAAGGCATTAGCCCGCGGTCAAGAGAGAGCATCAAAACAAGAGGAGAGCGCACCAGAGGAGGGAAGACTATAAAAATGATGAATAAGAGGAGGAAGAAGAAGAATATGAATAAGGCGAAGAAGAAGAAGTACAGCGGGTGAAGAAGAAGAAAAAATAAAGAAAGAAGAGAGGAAGGTTTTATCCACTCAGAGAGCGCTATGTGGAGTCGATAAGGTCGCGGAATGTAGACGTCAGATTGGAATCCCACAAAGCCGACACGAGGTGAACTTGTAATATTTTTATGAGCCGGCTCGAAGCCAATGGGATGACTGACGTGACCCGTCATTAGTCCATCCGCTCGTGATATATGTTCCAACCGCTGTCTTCGGGGCGTGTAAGCCCCCAAAAACCTTTCGTGTGTTGGCCTGTGCCCACAAATTATTCATTTTCACACACATACACACACAAACAGGTATCAACTGACAAACGAAAGAAGAAAAGAACAAAAAATAATGCATCCTAGAATATTACGTTGCAATTAGCTTCGGAAACCACCCTTATTTTCTCGTGGCATTGCAAGCCCCGCATCGTAAAAAATAATGTTTAACCTAAACAACCAAACAACTCTCACCACCCTTTTGTGTTTCGGCAATTCGCGCAACCTACTTATTTTTTTCTTATTGTTAAAAAGTACATAATAATCTTAATTCAAATTAATTGAATTGGGTTCAAATAAACTTAAAATTAAGTTTTATTGGTTTTCTCTTGAAATACTATTGCGACATAAAACATAAATGTCTGTGTGCCAGGTACACAAAGTATTAAGATGACATTTATTTCTAATATCACGCATGGTGCAAATGCAACATTAGATATGTAAATGTATCAGAATTTCGAACGTTTGCCAAAAATGTGTTTTATATTTAATTTTACGGAAGAACGGTGAATTTATAGAATAAAGCAATCCAATCTTTGAGAATGTGTTTGCGAGAGACGATTGATATTCATTTTCTCTGTATGCATCCATGCATGTGTGTGTATTTGTGTGTGGGATGAGGATGAATCTTTTATGAGATTACGTTTTTATGGGTCCCCGGATTGCGATCGGAGCATCAGAGACCGAAAATCTTTCATTGCTATCCTGCCCTTAGACTTGATTTTATTTTTCTGGATGGTGTGTATAATGTGGTCGTTTTCTCTTTAGGTGATGCCAGTAATGCGAGCATCGGGAGCGGCGAAGGAACGGGCGAGGAAGACGATGACACGAACGGCAAGAAGAACCAAAAAAAGCGCGGAATCTTCCCGAAAGTGGCCACGAATATACTCAGAGCGTGGCTGTTCCAGCACCTCACGGTAAGAACGGAGAGCAGCGAAAAAGCCCTTTCCTCCTTCTTCTTCTGCTTCTTCTACTACTTCTCTTTATTCTTCGGGACCATTCGCTCAGATAGCCATCAGCAATCTCGTAAAAGTTATTCCGACTCTAGAGAGGGATTTGCATGGCCGTTCCTTACAACGCACTTGGATTCCCAGCACGGCCGTTTAAGTAGGCGATATCCATACCATTGTGTTTACATGTAGTTTACAAGGGCCTAAAGTGCAGGCACAATGGCCGGGGAGATTTGCTGGTGGCAGAGATGGCGGCGGTTTCGCAGCCTAAAGATCTCCTTCACCTGTCACCAAATATTGTCACCTAGTGTGGGGCGGTTAGTGGTGTTAGTGATGCTGGCAGCATCATCGAGTCTGAAGGCTGACCGGTGTTGGGGTGGTGGTGTGTTAGAAGCCCCTTTGAATATTTAAGAGCAATGCATCACCCTCGCCCCCATCGGACCCGGCGCTATCACGAGGTGATCCCGGCTTACTTGCACGACTCATTAAGCCCTCCGCGCTAATCCCGCTATCGGATATTGTGTGTGCATGTGCGCCACCCCCAGATCGATGAGGCTCCCGCGCCTGTCCACCAGCGCCATCTTAACGCCGTTAATTACACCCGATGTCCCCATTATATGCTAATCCACCCCCGCAACTGTTTTTTTTTTCACTTCTATTTTATTTTTGCACGCCACCCCCGCCACTCGCAAATATTAATTAAAACGCGTCGCCTTAGTTACGCGCGGCAATTACCGCCACGTGTCGCCCGACGCGATAAATCAACGTGAAAAAACCTGCTAACGAAAGAAAAATAAAATTACATCTGTATTGCAGTTAGTTTTTCTCTTTCAGCTAATAACGAAAATATTCGTAATTTTTTTTCCCGTACATATACATACACGCCCTTATTTGTAGATATTTCCTTCTGCAAAGAAACCGCAAAGAAACCCCCTCGACTTTTACGGTTATTTCGATATGTCTGGCGGAAAGAGAAGGGTGGCGGCGAGAAGCAAAAAAATATATATAGCACGAGCAGCGTCCTTTTTTCCGGTTACGAGCTTCCATTTCCGGTCGGGCTATATTTCCGGCGCGCGGTTATCCTAGTTTATCCGACGGCGGCTGCCGCCGTCGACATGTGTCCTGCTTACCAAAAACCTCCCTTTTCCTGAGTGGAGCTAAATCCGTGGAGGATTTTCATCCCTATATGCCTGCAATACGTTCTCATCATAAAAAAATTCCTGCCCCAAAATTGTTTTCGTTGTTCTTTTTCTTCCTTTTCTCTCTCGTTTCCTTTTGCTTTCTATCTTATGCTCGGCATCCCCACGGGTGCATTGAAATCTGCTCCGTTTTCTCTTCTCCTCCGAAGAAGGTGAGCCCTTCAATTTTCCCAGTTGCAAGCAAATGATGCTGCGGGAGGGGTGGGCCGGTGCTCGTGCGGATTCCCAACATAATAATAAAAATCACTATGCATACGCGCACATAAATTTCTACACCGAACACCGGAGATGGGGTTATGAGTCTCAAGGGTCTGGGGTGGCGGAGGTAGCAGAAACGAATTAAATCACGGATTCCTCTTTTCCATTCGTATTTGTTGCAACACAATTTGCGGACTTCTTCGGAATTGCTGACCTGCTAACGAGTCAGCAATCACTCACCCGAAGAGGGAAAGAGGACATTAGTTATTATTAGTGTGTGTCTGTGCGGAGACCGCCACCCTCTTGCATCTATTGTTTTCCCGGGGAATTGGATTGGATCGCGCGCCAATTACGGAGATTGCCGTTCCTGGGGGGGAGGTCTATGGATCGAAAGATGAAGATGGAATGAGATATATATATATATATAAATGTATGTACTCTGGGGTCGACCATGAATTAATAATTGTTTTTGTTTTGCAGCATCCATACCCTTCGGAGGACCAGAAGAAGCAGCTGGCGCAGGACACGGGCCTCACGATACTCCAAGTCAATAACTGGTGAGTGCACATACACATTTCGCCTTCTCTTCTGTTATTTAGGTTTTTCCTCTCCTTTTATTGTCGTACGCTAAAACCCATAAATATAGGGGAATTGATCAATCGATCCGGTGTGTGGTGGTACCACCGCTAATTAGATTTTCAGCCACCCTCCACGTCGAAATGAGATTACAGCTGAAAATGGCACTCTGGCGCACGCGTTAATTGCAATCGATTTCTTCCCGCACTTATATTCCGCAAATACACAATATTTTTGAAATGATGCCAAAACTTCGGTAATTCCATCCAGTCAACAAAATCAATCTCAATATCAACTTTTCTGGTTTTCCATTTTCTAACTGAATTACTATTTACTAAATATTTATTAATAAGATTAAATTGTTATAAATTAAATGATTGATAATCGATATGTATATGCTATTAATGTTAGAGTTAGAAATAACATAAAGTAAGTGTTAAAGTTTTAATAACCATGAGCTTCTTAGATTCAAGCTACGCGTCGCATGAAGGCGACTGGAAATTCCTAAAACGAAAAGAAACGGCAAAGAGGGAAGGTGTAATTTCCAGTTAATTGCCGGAAAAGCGGTAATTGTTGTGTTTGCGTTCATGTATTATGCACGGCCGGGGGCGGCGGCGTGCTGCGCGCCGTCCCCGATCTCTCTCTCTCTCTTTTATTCTATCTCTCCAAGCAAGTGAGGGGACGAAGTGCGGACCCGAAATCCATTAAGAGCCGTCTCGACGGTCATTTCGGCCCTGTTTACGACCCTGAAGAGGGCGATTACTGTCTGCTCTTCGCGGAAATGGCCGCCGCAACCAACGACGTGTACTCCATATATTGGTGCTTCACTTTGCGGCGTTCCGCCCGCTTTCGCAGTATACCCAAACACTATTCGATCGTCCATTTTTAATGCTGCAACAAACAAATATAGAAAAGCAAAGGCGAAACATCTTGCATAGTCAATATAATAATAACGATCACTGATAAAGTAAATACGGTCAGATTTTAGTCTTTTAGATTAGGATTTTCGTTCTGGGTTGGGGATAGATTTTTTCAAATACACAACTCGATGCAAGGAGCTTTTCCCCAAGAGAGTTTCCTACTTTTCTACTCACTTTTTTTTTCGTGCGCCACGAGTCCATGTCATCATCATTTTTCATAGCACCATGCCATTACCGTTCGGGGACGGCAGAGGAGGAGGCGGAGGTGGCGGGGACATTGTCTCGGGGCCGTGGGAGTGTGAGGGGTTCACCTGGGTTAATGCGGCCCGGTGATAAATCGTCGCCCGGTTGGGTTCGCGAGGGGAGCCCTTATCAAGTCCGCATTGACGCTCTCTCGCTCGAATTTCTTAATTCCGCCTCTCCTCTACCCAACACACATACACACACACACACATTTCTATATATATAAGAGAGATAGAGAGAGAGAGGGAGATAGAGAGAATGAGAAAGCGAGTTTTGCCGCCTCCGCCAATTTACGAGTGAGTTTCATTGTCGTCGGATGCCGCCGCCGGCGAATGGCCCTCTGAGGAGTAATATCAGGCCACCTAATAGCTTACCAAATAGCCTCTGAAACACCTTTTTAATGAACTATTGCAGCAGGAAATGAAAATAGGGAATAGGGAGAGAAAGAGAAGAGACCGAGAATGCGAGATGAACTGAGAGATATCATTACAACCCTTCGACACGCCAGCCCTTGAGTGTACTCGAGCCTCTTGTAATTATACATTAACTAACTGCGTCCCGCGATTACCTGCAGCCGCCGCCTCATCCCGTAAAAGAACCTCGCAGTTACAAATCCGCGCACCTTGTCTCATCTCCGAGGAAATCATCCGACTACCTCAAAATTTTTCCTCTTCAATTCTCCCTTTCTCCCTCTATGACTTACAGTCCTTAAGTTGGTTGTATAATTAACCGATGTAAAAGGGACTCGCGCCCTCCGAGGAAATCATCGCGGCGCGAATTTATTAGGTTTTGATTTAGAGCTGCTTGGAAATTGGATACGTTGTACCTGGAAATTGAAAAGAACTCTGGTGGATGCGGCGGAGGAGGCGTTGGCGGTGGCAGAGGTTGTGGCGTCAATACATCACGGCTTCGGGATTACAGCTCCATCCAGCATGATACGTTCTTTATACGCGGGGCGCAGCGCCAAGTGGGAAAAGCCCCATAAATAATGCCTTGAAAACCTGCGTCGAAATATGGGGAAAAAGTGAGCACGCAGCGAGCAATAAATAATGTCGGTGGGGAGGGGGAGGGTGTGTTGCTTCGAAATATAAAATAAGAGGATACGAAAATGCAATAGGGTTACGTACCACACAAATAAATACGAAATAAATAAATGCGAAAAATAAATTGTTTGGGCGCAGAAGGGATGGGACGACTGTAATAATAAAATGAAATAAAAATTGGAGAGTATTTCTGGTAATTACATTTTGCGCCACGGAATGTATGCGCGCCATGCAGATCACATTTTAATGCAATTCCATCCATTATTCCGACAGGGCCATTAACACCAGCCCTGATGCAATTTGGATTGTATGGAAGCGGTGTAGATTCGGAAAGCTATCTGCTTTATTTGGACTAACAAAGGCGGCGGCGGCAAAGGAGTCGGAGGAGGCGGAGGCAGAGGCGATGTTCCCATCCTCCACCTCCTTCTCTCTCTCTTGCACCGTTGATGACATTACTCGCTACTAATGCCCCGAGAGCCGGTGATTTGTTTTCGCCGCCTCCCCCCGATTCCCTTCGTCGGATTTTTTCATTCTTTATTATCGCCCTCCGCGCGCATACTTTCGCATGCAATTTCAATTAGATCAATTCCTGCAGGAGGGAACCGAATAAAAACAGGGATCGATCCCATTAAGCGTATGCATATGTACGTGATCGATAGCAGAGAGGATGTGTACACATTTCGGGGCGGTGTAAAGAAATCGGGTTTCAAGTTCCATCAAACAGGGCATTCGATCATGAAATAGCTTGAGTAGTGTAAGCGAATTGTTTTGTTTGCAATTTGGGGCCGTGTCGGCGCTGCTGCTGCTACTGCTGCCGCCGTCTCCTCTGTCGCTCCCCTCTGCCCCCTCTCTCCCTCTTCCATCTAAACCCACTCTCGTCCTGTGCAGCCGTCCCTGCCCCTGCTGCCGCCCCCGGTCCTGTTTTTCAGCAACCCCGGGGATGCGAGCCGGCGGCGCGCAGATAAGAGAATTGCACTGTCAAGCCAGAATGATATATTTGACCAACATTTCCATACAGCAGCAGCAGCGGTGGAGGCGGCAGCTCGCACGAGGATTTCCAATGAAGCGCGCTCTCGTCCCCCGCCTATCCACCACCCACCTACTATATATATATATATAGTAGTATACTTTCGTGACGCCGCCTCCCGTACGTGCGTAATCTCTCCGATTCAAATTAACACGCGTACTCGTATATCTCGCGGTCCGATCGCACCTGACTCCCGCCTGATACAATGCCTGTACAGCCGCCACCCCGACACAATATTGCAATCATCCGCGGAAATAAGCACATTTTCAGGAATTATCACACACTCGTATGCACATCCATTCAATCCAATTACAAGTTATCGCGATAGAAACAACGAACCGTTTATTAAAATATCGTCTTTGATAGATAAATAACGGACAATACTCAATGACACAGATCGATGAGTGTCGATTCTGCTGTGTTAGCAAATTGTTTATGGAAATTATGAAATTGCTCGCAAAAGTTCACTTTTATGGTTTTCGACGTCGGTGGGCGGGCGGTTGCGAAACTTCAGGAATCGGAAGTAATTCGAAACAATTTATAGGAACACTTAAGTCCTTAATGTGCCCATTTCGGGAAGTAAATAAATGGGATTTCAGCCAAGAGAACAAAACAGAACGGTTGGATCCAAATAATAATCAAAAGGAAAAGTAAAAGTAAAGGAAGAAGAAAAAATAAGAAAGAATAAACCATGTAGAAAAGAAACGTAAAGTCCTTTTGTGTTAATTTTGCCGGTAATTAAGTGCGTTAAAACGTTAACGTTGTTTGTTTTGGTGAATGTGTTTGTTGTTTGTGTGAGAGTATGGGGGAATTCGCGGGGGCGGCGCATACATTTGTATGTGGAGGGAAATATAATGGAAGCCCCTTAAATTGTTTCGAATGAAAACCCACCCCTGGTGCGGGCCGCTCGATCCATCATTTGTTTTAAAGGGGAAGCGGCGAGCGAAAGGGGTCCGAAGGGGCGATGCGAGAGAGTTCCGCCTAAAAACAGAAACCTTAATCCGGAAACGATAATTGTGAACAGAAATGGAAATAACAGTCGTTTATTTGTAATCGAGGCAGAAAAGGGGGAAATGCAAGAAAGAAAGGGTTGAGATGACGACCGCTGGGAGGGATCGGAAGAAACAACTGTTTGTTTTTGTGCGCGTGTGAAAGAGAAGCAAGAGACTTGGCGTGTAGGAGGAGGCTGGATGGGGGATCATTAGGTTAGGGATTAGGGTTATATAATATAATGGATGAAACCTGAGAGCGGTAGTCCGCGCGCGTTAAAGAGTTGTGCGGGGGTTGATGGAAGCAAGAGTCGGGGGGGCGGTGAGGGGTGAAACGGCGGCGGAGGAGTTGGCCGTTGTATTTGTCTGTGTGTGTGTGTGTGTCGGAGAGCACGGAAAGAGAACAATGGGAAAAGGGGAAATGTTTGGCACTTGCTGCGCGCAAATCAATATGTTCCAGATCAAGGGAGGCTAATTACGCTCTCACCCTCGCACACAACACGCACACTTTGATTTCCCCAAATAGCCTACTTGACGACAATCTCTATGCGTGCCGTTTCGCCGCCGCCCCCAAACCTCCACGGTCAGTCTGCCTCGGGGATGATTTGTTCGGATACGTGATGCCGATGTAAGTGTGATTGGGGGGTAGGTTCGCCCGGTCGTTCATTCCGACACCAGCAGCAGCACATCGTAGCCGGCTAAGAGCAACCAGCAACCCCCCGCCAGGAAGCGGGAGGCGGCTGGTAATTGCTAACGGCAGATGTCGCCCCTTCGACCCCCAAACGAACGGGGTCAGCAGTCAGAGCGTCAGCTTGCGAACCCCCGCACCTCATTTATGTGTGTTGAAAGATATTAAACGCCGAATTTATAGCTTAGGCAGCACCGAAAACCCTTTGCCATCCGCCGCCCCCCAACACAGACGTTCAATTTTTACGACCGTCAACTGAAACAGATTCAATTTGCTATTACTCTCCTATATATTATTGTTCTCGCCTTCAAAATAAAACTGAAAAACTAGAGAAAAATAAATAAAATCGAGCGAGCATATTTTGATATTACATACGTATATCTTCAATTTCCGTCTTACGTAAATTGACAAAAAGATAGAACGTTGCAAAATACTAAAAGTAGACCGTTGCGTACACAATGCCAAATGTTCCAACTAGCCAAAGCTTAAGATGAATTTTAGGCATTCCGAAAATTAGTTTGAAAGCGCCTAAAGGACCGGAAATGTAAGGGAACGCTATTATTATATATATAGAAGCCATCGATTTGCTACACATCTTGCAATCGGTTTCGCCCAGAAAACCCAATCATTTCCGGTGTCAGAATGCATTAGCGCTGCGTGACGTTTCTGCTGACAGACCCCTCTTGCCTTGAACCACCCTCATCCCAGCATGCATTTTTCTTCCTTTCCATCTCTTCGATTTACCAATATTATATGGAATGTTCCTTTCTTTTTTGCAGGTTTATCAACGCGCGGCGGAGGATAGTTCAACCAATGATCGACCAATCGAACAGAGCAGGTGAGTCAGAATTATTCCATCCTATTAAGAGCACACTCACCATAAGTCAACAGAACAGCCAAGAAGGAAACTTTTTACTCTGCACCGAAAATAAACAAATTAAAGCGCGCATATTTTCATAATCTCTTAATGAATTGTAATTTCCATTAAGGCTTCTGCTCTTCTTCTTCTTAACATCATCTACATCTTCCCCCCATTCGTTGCGAGAGAGTTTCTTGTTATTATTTTAGCCTTTTTATTTTCGGGGCCGATCCCAGGTAGTATCGGCCGATATGAGTAGTAAGTGGAAAGTCGTGTAAGTGTTTCGACATTATCACACACTCACACAGGCAGGCAGACACTGCAGAAACTCAACTCTCTCGGCCCAACCTTAGACTCCGTTCATCACCACACACACATACACACATACTCTGAATAGTTGACTTTATATATATATATATGATAACTTCTAATGAACTTTAGTCTGAAGCTAAAAGTGCCTTATTTTTGCTTATTAAACGCAAAACAAAGTTCCGCCAAAGACGTGTTTTCTTTTCTTTTTTTTTTGATTATCTTCATACGCGAAGAAGAAAACATATGCAATTTGTTTTCGAAATTGACGCGACCCAATTAATGTTGAACCTATAAAATAAATAAAGTAAAGTGCATATCGAATAATTTTGCTTGGATCCATTATTAGGGTCTTCTCCCCTTTTATTATTTTTTTTTCGTCGTAGACCATTTTCTTTAATGCATGTATACGAGAAGCAATAATGGAGTGTAGGGCATCATAAATAAATATCAATTTTTGGGTTTGGGTTTCGTTCGGAGACAAACAAGAGTGTGTGTGTGTGTATGTGTATGTATGCGAGGGGGATTTTAGATCACATTAATCACGGCTGTCAGATGTAGTAAGCGCATTAGCCATTGTCCGGTTGCGTTTCCATACATATACGCATGGAGACGCGACGCGATATGCGATGGCTCTCTTTTATTGATTCCCTCCAGAGTTTTCTCTGGTGGAGACAGGCGAAGAGGAATAGCGGAAGCCAATGACCCACGCACCGCCCGATCCATCACTGACACCCTTCCTTCTTCTTATTCTTCTTCTGATTCTGCTGCTGATGTTACTACTACTATTACCAGTACATAGCCTCTCTCTTTGAAGGCAGATCGAGAGAAAAAAAGGAGAAGGAACGACGTCGATGATGGTGATTTGAGCATTGCTTCTTTTTGTTTCGTTTCTCCTTCTTCCCACTTAATTTTCTTGAGGGATGATGGTGGATCTTATTTAAAGACAGACGGTGCAGGGTAGAAGTTTTTGTAGCTTGCCGTGATGGTCTTCGGGCAGCTTTTTATCCCACTGATGCAGTTTTCTCTCCTCACGCAGGTCCCAGTGGAGCATACAGTCCTGATGGTACGATGGGTTACATGATGGACGGCCAGCAGATGATGCATCGACCGCCCGGCGATCCGGCCTTCCACAACCAGTACGCGCACTACCCCGCGGAGTATTACGGACACCATCTGTGAGGTGAGTACTCGACCACAAGACATTAAAACATTGTATCAAGAAAAAAATATAATATTATTTGTAAAACCCATCATTTCTGTTCCATTAAATATACTGTTTATTACTATACTTTTATTAACTCCTTTTAGTTTTTTTTTTATTTAAAATAATATACATCCCAATCCAACTTATACCTAAATCCCAAATTATTTATGTTTAATTCAACCAGCAGTTACAAAATTACTATTTCATCACGCTATGAATTATTAAAGTTAAATTAAAAATAAGAACACGTCGAGCCGTAAATGTTGGAACGTACCGCCTTGGAGCAATTGAAGTGGAATTAACAGAGTCAATATTAACATGGATAAAAATTGTTATTGTTACTTAATGCGACGCTAATTATACTCGGAAATTTAGTCTCAAGCCTAACGTATATTAATTAATATAAAAAAATGTGAATACGTATTTGAAATTATTGATTATAATGTTCGTACGAAATATGTTCTTAACAATTTTTTAAATAATGAAAGTTCAAGAAATAAGCGTTTCATTTGAATCCAATTAAAACAAGATTATTGATATTACATTCATAGCAAATTTTAAGATTTAGTTTAATCAAAAACAATTTCAGTAAATATTAAGATGGTAACGAACAAAGCAAAACTGATTTTACAATAGACTTCCAGAAATCTTCAGAGAAGACATATTTTTATTATCTTTTAAATTATTCACTTACTTTTATTTTCAAAAAAATCTTTTACGCATTCCACTTGATTAATATTAATGCAATCATGTAAACACTCTATTAACTAATTAAGCAATAAATACGAAAGTGAATGAGATTAATCATGAATACAGACTTTGACGATTTTGTATTAACAGCTTTAGAATTTGAGTAACTTAAAATCTGTTTGTTTTTAATACATTTTTAACCTTAAGTATATTAAATTTATAAAATATAGAAATAAATATTTTAGAATAAAAAAAATATAACAATTACGTAAATACACAACTAATTAAAAAAAATAATAAGAATAAATAAATTGACTTTTAATAATTGATATAAAGATGATTTTTTTTCAATAGATTTGATTATTTCAACAAATTAATATTTAAAATTGATGAGAAATTTCTTTTTAAATATATGTTTTATGTTTTTATATAACATTACGTTGAAAAAAATAATTTGGAGCCGTAATTATTACGTGAACTAACTTTAATTGTCTTTTTTTCCCTTTAATTACATGAAATTAACATGTGCATTAACATTTACGTGCGATAAAATAAAATAATTGCAAAAATTTGAATTTACTAAGTTTCATAAGTTGTAAGAATATTAATTTATAGAAAATCTGTCTAATAGAGATTATAGAGATATTAGTTGTATTCAATGATTATAAATTATTCTATTCCGATTATAGTTTTATCTATTATTTTTTTTAAGATTGTATTCCTTTCCAAAATCCAAATATTTTCTGTGAATTATGCATATAATTGTGAAGAATAAACTGTACTAAAGTATTTGTTTTTGTTTCTTTGCAGGTCATACGCATACAACGACGGACATTCAAATATGCAACTCATAAATGTGATTATTCATTGTACAAAGTGTAAATGTAGTGCCCCAGTGTTTAGTAACGGGAAGGACTTGTACAAATAAGTATTAGACACTCGTGTGTGCGCGAGTTTGTACATAACAATAATAACACTATATAAATATAAATATTATATAAAAAAAAAATGAATAAAAAAAAGAAGTAAATAATAATAAATAGAAGAACGCGAGAGTTAAGGGAGAGCGAGAGAGTGAGAAAGAAAGAAAGCGGTGAGCTTGAGTGGATGTAAAGTGAAATAAGAAAAAAAAATAGAAGACGATTTCGTGTAAAAGTGAATAAGATTATATAAAAAAAGGATAAAATTAAATAAAAGTAAAAAATGATCGGGTGGACACTTCGTATTAATTAATTGATTAATTAATTAATTTTCGCTGCAAGAAATTTAAACAAAATACAAGTTTACGACTGATGGACGTGATGTGGTCTCGTAGTTAGGTCTTCTATGTTACCGGCGCCGCATCTGGCCCTTCTTAAGAAATAACAAGAGGATAGAAATGAATGCCCTGCAACCCCCGAGAGGAAGAACGCTGACACAGACAGGAACGACTGGACGAAGGAAGCATTTCGAAAGAGAGACAACAACCCAAAAAGCCAACCATCGAGAGCGAAATCAGAGCCGGACGCGTCGCCCCACCCCCTCCCATCTCACACCAGCCGAAAAATAAATAATTAAATGATAATAATTACGCAAACAAAACAAAAAAAAAATGGAAAACGGAAAAATTGTGCAAAAAAAAGTATATTTCAAAAGGTTGTGCTGTTGTAAAATAATAGTTGTTATATCTGTTGTGATTTTTTTTTTGCTATTTCTCAGATAACTCGAAAGATTAAGATGAACGTGAAACCCCTTTAATCTCAGATTTAAAGCAGAAAGAGAAACTCCTTTTCATCCGTTTGAAGAATGATATACGTAACATGTATTTTCTTTTCTATTCTGTTGTGGTTATTTTTCAGTTTACTGAAGAAATGAGAATTAACTAAAAGTGAAACAAATGTTTTTTTTTTTGTTTTTAAATGTGAACGAAAATGAAAGGAAATACCTAGAGAGAGAGAGAGAGGAGATGATGAGTGTCTCACGCGCTAGGCTATTATATCAAATAATACACAAAGTATACAGAATGTCGCAAGTCTCAGGTCAGGCAGGCTGAACCAACCCAAAATAATAGAGATTATAACTATTGTACACTAATTAACGATATTATTAATTAATTGATTATTGTAAATTTTAATTTAATGTAATCCATAGCTGTATTCTTGCCAGGCCGCGCGTTTGCAGCCCCTAACTTCGATTGCAAAATTTCGCGATTACTAGAGTAAAGAAAACAAATGAAATGTCAAATTGGTGAAACTAGATCAACGCAGATCCAATCCACAGCTCCAATGATCGACAGTTACGGGCTGCAAAGGTTAAAAGGGAGATCGAGAATTTGAAAGATGTGTGCGTGTGTGTGTGTGGTGTGGTGAAGCGAAATGATACACCACGGGGCTTTTGATTTTGTTGAATTGTTTAATATATTATTATTATTATTATTTTCTATTATTTTTTTTTTCTTCTTTTGTTTCTTTTCATATGTCAAAAACGATGTTTTCGAGAGTAGAGTGCGATTTCAGCACTGCAGCCCTCAATCCCCCCCCCTAACAAGTATACGAATTTCGGTGATCCTCAATATTACAATTTAGTCATTACGAAGTATAAAAAAATTAATATATATAAATGAATATATGGATATATATATATATATTAAGTAAGCGCCCGAGGGCTGCAGAGCGGGCCATCGCCGCGCACCGCACCGCCCCGCCGCCACCACCGCCTCCCATTGTTTATATGTTTGTTACCCGGGGGCAGGTGGGGCGGCGGTGCGCCCCGTCCGGAACGGCTGTGGACGATCCGACCACCACCAAACATCATCAACGTCGGCGGAATTTGCGCGGAAGAGACGAAGATGATGATGAAAAAAAATGAGAGAGTCGGCAATTTTAGCGGATCCCCCAAATTTTAAATTTTAAAAGATTCTAGTTTTTGAACCATGTTTTAAAGTAATGAATGTTAAGTAATAATGATAAATACAGCGCGTATACTATAAACTAAGTGGTGGCCGGAGCGATCCCGGCGGCGAGTCGAACCGGGGGCGGCAGAAGCACGAACAAAATGAGAGACAGAGAGAGAGAGAAAAGAAAAAATTTATATATGAGGCGAGGAATGGTTGAAAGCAAGAACGCAAGCACCAAAAAGGGCCGTATCGTGCAATTAATTATAAACAATCAATTTTATTTACTACTACTACTACTATTTCTTCCTTTTTCTTTATATATAATATATAAATATTGTAAATGTTATATAATTTAAGATTTGGAGAAGAGGTGTACCAACCCTCGCGCCGTATACGTTTTCTCCTTGGTTCTTTTTGCGTTTCGGCTTGTTCTCCTTTGTTTTTACGTACGTTTTTTTTTGTTGTTGTTGTTGCTGTTGTTTTGGTGTGTTTTGCCCGCCTCCGTTTCCGGTCGCCTCCTGTACATACAAATACCTCCAATAATAAGAATGTTGGCTGTTCGTTTATAAGTGATTTCCATCATGATGAATCATTGTTCGCCTTATCCAATGTATACGACTAAATCAATTCAGAGAATCAGAGAGAAAGAAGAGAGAGAGAGATATCGTACCTCTATGTTATGTATGAGAGGACTTTATTGTGTTCTGCTTTTTAATGAAAGTATATTAATATAAATATAAACGATTAAAAAAAATAATGGGACGAGATACCTCTACACTACTTTGGTAACGCCGTGTCCTCTGTATAGTGTTTTTGAAACGTGAGCATTAAATGCTACATCTTGTGTACTTATATAAACTGTGTTTCAATCAAACGATATGAACCCGAACCCAAGATAATTCCTTGAATCCCACCAAAAAAAAAAAAAAAACAAACAAATTTATACGAGAATTAAGGATGAAAGTCGAGCGGAAGGAAAAATGATAGGTTTGATAATTTTAATTGATCCTCCTTAAATTAAACTACAAAAATAAAAATGAATGTGAATTATTAATTTTATTTAAATTTGTAACTATTATTTTTTTCATTATATTAAAATAAAGAAAATATAAAAAATACTTGACAAAAACAAAACAAACAAAAACAAATACTTTTCAACATATCCTCGAAATTTCTTACGAATTCACTTTAATTATATTCCAAATTATTAAGTGATCAATTAAGTCGAATCTTTTTAGATTGTTTACGCCAGGCTTCAAACGTTTTATTTGAAGGACGTCGCAACTAATTGGAATACTTAAAAGGTAATTATTTAATCCATTAAATTAACTATAATGAGTATTATATATCTAAATTTGATGCATTTTATTATCAAATTAAGATAACTGCAGTAAAGTTGTTTTAATTTTAATAAAATTTAATTAAATACTTATAATAATAAACTTTTCAGATTCTACATCTACATTTCAGTAAGTTTTGAATCATATCTTCTATTTTTTTGCAGAAAACATTATTAACTATGACTATTTTTAAGAATTTCCTAGAATTATTTTGAATACTTAGAAATTCTACAATTTCGAATTAATTCATTATTAAACGTTATAAGAAACTAAAATTCAAAGTAATTTTCTTAATTACTTTGTTTTTTTTAATAAATATTCTATACGCTTTAATATCATAATTGAATCTAATATTAAATATTCTATAACAGCGGTTGCCAAAGTGGTGGTCCGCGGACCACT